GCAGTGACGTCACACGACGCACAGCTGGCGCGCCGGAGCCGCCGCCGCCGCGGGCTCCGCCGCCACCGCGCGCGCCTCGCCGTTCTGCGCATTCCAGAGGAGTGACATCATAGCCGCGGCAGACGTACTGGCACCGCCGCGTGCCCAGCTGTGCGCCTCCGTTGCGCAGTAGCCAAGTCTGACGCTGCATCGGAGCCGCTTGATAACGCCTCTCATTTTGTGCGCATAAGCTCACGCTACGCATATATCCTGGCATAACCGAGCTAAGCCACCGCAATTGTTTTTTATTTCTTGTTTGTTTCTGCGCGATGTTTATTTTTTGCAGGAACCGCTTGGTCGTCGTTATGTGAAACACCCTGTATTCGGTCACTGCTGCAGGATTGGCATTACCCGGAAATTTAATATACACATAACGAGTCTGTCAAATATGCGGAAAGTACTGTTACAAATTTCTGTTACCAACGTTAGCGCCGTTTCGGTGTTTCACATAAGGCACTTTTGTTTCACACGCAAGCAGTTGCAATTTGGTCGGCGCTTTTACTTGCTCCGTTTCGCTCTCTGCATATCTGCAGAGTCCATTCTGTTATCACACAAGTTTCTGCTTGCTTAAACAATGAGTATTTACACCCCTAAAGGAGAAAAAAAGACTTGTAGCGTCTAGTTCGGTGTGTTATCGAATGATTTGAAATCCAGTCTCTTATTTTGCTGGGCCACAGCTAGAGGAAGAATACACTAGAAAGGCGAATGACAGGTTCATCAATAGACTGGATATCATGGCCCGTCATGATTCAACCAGTTCAACGACAAAGTGTTTGTCGTTGAACTGGCTTGGAAAGGTATATGCGCGTCCAAAAGGGCGCAGTCAAAGCGAAGACTCGCAAAAATAAAGGGCGCCTTTATTTTTGTCTTTATTCAAGTTGCAAGTGACGCACACGTCAGGAACGTTCAGAGAGGAAAGGGAACTTTTGTTAAGGCATGAACAAGATATTCCGTGTACTCGGACTTGAGCTCGCGCTTTAGGATTTGGCCCACTTCGTAGGTGAAGCCTCTGGTTATCCCACGCTCAAGGGGAATGTCTCCGAGTCCGGTGAAGTTGAGCGTGGAAGCGAAGGGCTTGAGGGGCTTGAGCCGGACTTCGGGTATGCGCCCCTCAACGGCTGTAGCCTCGAGGAGCGCGTAGTTGGGGGCGATCGTGGCCACTGTGCGGACAGTCGTCTCCGGGCCTCCCATGTACCGGATGTCGGAGACGATGTGGACGCTCAGGCGATCCAGGAGCACGTTGCAGCTGACCGTGAGGCGACCGGGGGAAGAGTAGCCCGGCTGGCTGCAGTCTCCGGATCGTCGAACCTGGCTGAGGCCGGTGATCTTGACGTCCTTGAGAAAGACGCGAAGTTCGTCCCGAGTTCCCAGATCGGAGAAGTAAGGCTGCGCCTTCAGGGGGTCCATCCCGAGCTTTTGCGAGAGCTGGGGAATCTCCCGCTCGAGCACTTGGTCCATGAAGACGTTGGCGTCGTGCACTGTCGCGCCATGGGCGGCTGGAAGGACGTAGGGCGTAAGCGTGCACTCTTTGCGGCCGCACCCCCAGGAGCTATTTGCGCGTAAAAATACTTTCAGCGAGAAGGAAAAAACAAGCCTGCGTATGAAACTTTGACTAACCCGTTGATTTCAATCACCGTGAAGACAACGACTGCTCCTTAGAAATTTGTTTGGCTTAACTGAATGAATGGATGTTTAATATAACAAATATTTACATTAAAATATTCTTCGTCGCTACACATACAGATTAAAGCTTCAAAGAAAGCTATCCTAAAACACAAACACATATAAGTTCTAAACCACGAAGCTAACGCCAAACGGCAATCAAACGTCAAACTGGTTTTAACTTACAATACCAATATCCGTATTTAGAATATTGCTGACGAATTTGGTATAATTTTAACGAACTTATTAAGAAAATGAAAGCACACACAAAAAGGGGCGGCGATGGGCGTACACTCACTTGTCCGTATCCGTTGTTGTTATCTTTTAGTGTTTTTGCATCATTTTAATATCGTCATTTAAACATCGTAAAAGTCTAACAAAAAAAAAATGCAGACGTCGAATTATGTGTGTGCTTAGTTTCACGTAATTCTGGCCAAATCGGTCCTAGAAAAGTACGTATCGCAAAGAATGTCGTTGATGTAATTTTAGTCTCTGCCAGAGCTTACATAGGGATCTAATAACGTTCAGTATAATTACAAACTGGCAGCCACGCGCGAAAAAATACACACACCAAGGGAGGAATGAACAGGTCGAGCGCTGAACTTCAACTGAAAATTTATTGAAGAAAAGCACAGAAGTAAACAACCGCACCGTAATCGCGTAAACACGTGCTCGAAAAAGTTATCTCTTTCTTGTGTAAATAAACTAATGTTTGCCTGAGACCATTATCACCATATTTTCTTATCTCGTAGGCTTCCAGCAATTCCCTTGTAGTTTCTCCAGCCCTTCCCCGAAAATCGCTATGCTGTTGAATTTTAGCTGACACGGGCATGAGACACAGTGTGAGACAACTTCACCGGACTCGGAGACATTTTCCATTTACATTTTTAATTAAACGCTGAGTTGAAGTACGGTGCTCGTCCTGTCCATTCCTCTCTTGGTGTATTTTTTGTCATCGCTACCAGCTTGTAATCATGAACCAAATCGCCTGCATCGCTACATTGATCTAGTTTCATTAGGTTCTTAGTAAATTTTGAGGAATAAACTTTTTATGAGGACATTGAGATGTATGGGTTCAGTTACAAACTTTGTGGGCATCAGAAAACAACTGAATTCGTGTACTTTACAAAAATATAAGGCACGCACTCACGATAATTGAGGCGTTAAAAAGCACTCAATTTGAACGTGTTTTGAAGCGCACTAAGAGGTCCTTCAAAACACAAGCCCAGGTGGGCTGCCCAAGTTGGCCCCCTGTGGGTACCGCGAGGGCGACCCGCGTTAATTGGCTACCCGAGCAGGCCCCCTGTAGTTCCCACCAGGGAAGCCGAGTGGGCTGCCCGAGTCGGGACGACTTGCGCCCGGTTTGCAAAACCGACGTGGGATTCACGTGGACAGCCCACGTACGACACCCGTCGGGCCCGTTTTAGAGCCCACTTTGTGCTACTTGGGATTGATTTCCCACTAAAATGCGTCTCCTCGCCAGTGGTCGAAGCGCCCAAGTGACGTGCGCCGCATCCACACATTCTTTGCACGACTGAGGTTAACCCCAAGAATCATATCGTATTCTCAAAATGCCATTTGAACAGCATATCGTTTCATTTCGGGGACTAGTGCCTCAATTCTTTTATGCTTTTTTTTTTCCTTTTTTAAAGGGGGGGGGGGGGGGAAGGGAAGAGAAAGGGGGAAGCGAGGAGAGGTGAGGGGCCCGGGGCTACCACACTTTCTTCTCTTGTACGACTGAGACACGGTTCTGGTTGCGTGCTTTGTCCTTGAAGGGCAGGACAGATTGAGCAGTGCTTTGATAAAAAAAGATGTGCTTTGATAACAAAACAAATCCTGAAAAAACGCGTTTTTTTTTCTACGCCATGGAATTCTGCGCTTGCTTTATATTTGGGTAAAGTACACTAATTCAGTGCTTTTTTGATGATGTCCAGAAAATTAAGAATTAAAAGCATGCCTTAAACTTTACTACATTTAATATTTATAAGCCATTTAGAAACGAATACCGAACACTCTTGTATTTTTATAAATAAGGCCTTTGGTACAGATCAACATGGCATTAACACTTCCTGTGTGATTCGTATTTTTCGGAGGAGTGATTTGAACAGTTCTCCGTAAAATACCCTGTATATAAATTGAGAATCAGATTCATCTTTAAATGCAACCAAATTGTTGAGCATTTACGTGTAAATTCAACGATGTTCTGGCGCACCCCAGTCAATTACTTAAAGTGAATTTAGACCTCGTGAACGCTGCTTGACGTGCAGCGTAAATGTCAGTTACACGACGTCTGTACATCGCAATATGTCAACGTCAGATCGGACACCTCACATAAGACTCACAACCGCCACCTGGGATCCGAATCATGGTACTTTGACTCGGAACCACTAAAGCGACTGGCAAAGTGAAGTTGCTTGTTCTGCCAGATAGATAAAATCTTTTAATATTTGTAATGGTAATTAGCAGCAGATATAATAGACGACAGGGAGAAGTCTTAGTGGCGTCTCTATATTTGCGCGTCCCATCTGTCCAATTCTCGAAGTTGCTCTTCGAGCAAAGATGGACGTCAGAAACTACAGTAAAGCGCTTCAATTGAAAATGATACGCATGCACTTACTGACGAAGAACGCAAGGAAGATAGGCAGCAACATCGTGAATCCTGTGAAAAAGAAAAATGCGAGAGTGAACGGATATACTGTCGCCAAATGCCTGCAGGAGTTCTCATTTGCAGAGACCTTAGTGACAATTCCAAACTGTCTCCAATAAACCTGTTCGTTTTCTTTCTTGTAGAGCGCAGCTCTTAGGCGCCCGTTTCCGGCTTGAGCGGCGTCGGCGTCGCCGTTGCCGTCGGCGTCGGCGTAACCGTGCGGTGCATTATGGCTAAATTTCCCCGCTATATTTAGCGAAAACTTTTCCCCGCTAAATTTAGCTGAAGAAAATTCTCCGCTAAGTTTAGAGGAAAACATTTTTCCGCTAAATTTAGCGGAAACAATTCCCCACTAAATTTAGCGGAAAATTTTCCCCTAAATGGGAGACGAGCAGGAGAGGAGGAGGGGCATAGCCTCCTCTCCGTACTGTATCGTGGTTAATAGGCACAAATCAAGAGGACACTTTGCTTTAGAACGCTTACGTGCCGGCGGCTGTTTTTCCGTCACCTTTATTTCGTCGTCTTCTCCTAGCTCGCCCACGCTCAGCTAGCTTTATAACCGATACACCTTCTCTTCTTTAAAAGTTAAACAGAAAATTACTTACAATATATACACTATACAAATACAAATAAAATATAGATTACTCAAAATATGTACAAATATATACACTGTAATGTCGTTTGTAGATTTCAAATCATGTTCTTTGCAGTTTGCACTTCACTTGCATACTTGATTAAAGTTCTCATCATACGTTAACCTCCTAGGTACACGAACTTCACGAGTAGACTGCCGAGGAGTGATCAGAGGCAGACTTCCTTGTAGGCACGCTTGATTTCTATTATCCAGCTGACTTGTGCTTGTGCTATTATCCTGCTGGCTTCTACCGGTACTTGATGTATCTGGGCTGGAGACAGCGAACGTTGGCACTCGAGCCTCAGGGCTTTCTGCATCTTCGTCTGCGGTGTCGTATGCCTCGGACTCTAACTCATCATAAGGATTGAATTCCTCCGATGTCTTCAGTAGGTGTTGGCGGTTCCGCCGTATGTGTGTACCCTTCTCAGTTTGTATCTTGTACGATCTTGGGCCGTTGTCACAGGTCACTTGTGCTTTCGCTGACCAACCTTTATCTTTATCGTCTCGAACTCGTACAGCATCTCCTTCTTCTAACTGGGAAAGTGCTCGACCTCTTTTTCTGTCTTGTTTGTGTTTAAACACGGGTCTAGCTGGTTCAGACACGAAATCTGGCAGGAGTGTACGCGTCTTCCTTCTCATTAACAACTCTGCTGGAGCTGATCCGCACTCTAGTGGTGTGGCCCTGTAGGTTAGTAACCCTAACCAGAAGTCTTGGCCAGAATGTGCACATTTTTTTAGCAGTCTTTTCACTATTTGCACACCTTTCTCTGCGAGTCCATTAGACCTTGGAAAGCGCGGACTAGACATCACATGTTTGAAGTCGTATTTTGCTGCAAACTCGGTAAAATCTCTAGCTATGAACTGTGGACCGCCGTCTGTACAAACCTCGAGAGGAAGTCCATGACGAGAAAACATGCTTGCCATGACGTCGATCACAGTCTTTGATGTAGTATCTCGTAGTTCGGCGACCTCGGGAAAGTTTGAGTAAGCATCGTAGAGAACCAGGTATGATTTCCCAGCATACATGCACAGGTCTGCACCGATTCGCGCCCAAGGTTGGAGTGGCGTCTCTCGTAACAGAAGAGGCTCCTCCTGCTGGCGATAGGCATATTGCTTGCAGGTTGCACATCGGTCGATCATCGCTGTAATATGTGTATTCATTCCCGGCCAAAACATTAATTGTCTGGCCCGTGCTTTGCATTTGTTGATACCAAGGTGACCGCTGTGCAGGCGTTGCAGCATCTCTGCTCTGAGGACCCGCGGGATTACGACTTTAGCTCCCTTCATCAGGACACCCTTTACGACAGACAGTTCGTCTTTAAAAGGTTTAAACTCGCCTTGAAGTGGAGTGTTATTAGTCAGCTTGCTGACAACTTCTTGAAGTTCCTTGTCTTTTTCTGTCTCTGCAAGTAGCAGTGCCATTGTTTTGTCACTGACCAGCGTAGACAGGACAGTTGCTGCATGAAGCTCCACATCATCGCTTGAGCCTTCCTTTGTCGTCGAAACCTGTATTTGAGACAACGTATCAGCAAGAACCAGTGCTTTTCCTGGCAGGAACTCTAGCTCCAAATCATATCGCATTAACCTCAAAAACAGGCGTTGCAAACGTGGTGGCATATCTCCGATGCACTTTTTGGCTATGGAAATCAATGGGCTGTGATCTGTTTCGGCAGTAATGTGCCGTCCGTAGATAAAGTCATGAAACTTTTCACATCCGTATACAATTCCCAGAGCTTCTTTTTCAATTTGAGAGTAGCGGCATTCGCTATCAGTCAACACTCTCGACGCGTAGGCTACAGGGCGCCAATCTTGACCATGCATTTGGAACAAGGCGGCACCTAAGGCTCCTTTCGATGCATCTGTAGAGACCTTCGTTTTCTTCCCAGCGTCAAAAATGGCCAATATCGGGGCTTTTGTTAACATTCCCTGCAGCATCTTCCATTCATGCGTATGCTGTCTACTCCACTCAAAAAGTGAATCTTGTTTGTTTAAGTTACGCAAGGATGTAGTCTTCTCTGACAAGTTAGGAATGAACTTCCCGAAGTAGTTGACCGCCCCCAAGAGACGCTGCACTTCTTTTCTGTTTGTTGGTAGTGGCATGCTTACAATGCACTTGACTAGTTCAGGGTCTGGCGTGATCCCTTTAGCGCTAATGTTGTCGCCCAAGTAACAAATTTCTTCTAAGGCAAACTGGCACTTATGGAGGTTTAGCGTGAGGCCACCCTTTTTAGCTGCTTGCAAGGCTTTCCTCAGTCTTAGGTCATGTTCCTCACGAGTACCGCCCCAAATGAGTACATCATCTATATAAACTCGTACTCCAGGTAATCCTTCAAAAATTTGAGTCATTTCTCTCTGAAAAACTTCAGGCGCAGAGGAAATTCCAAAAGGCAATCTTAGGTATCGGTAGCGCCCAAATGGCGTTGCAAACGTACAAATCCGCGAGGTGCTGTCATCAAGCGGAATCTGGTGGAATCCGTTGTTAGCGTCAAGCCTTGTAAAATACTTTGCACCTGCCAACTCAGCCTCAATGTCCTCTCTGCGGGGAAGTTGAAAATGTTCTCGTTTCAAGCTCATGTTCACGTACTTTGGATCCATGCACACACGAATTTTTCCATTTTTCTTTGCAACTATCACAAGAGGGCTTACCCAGTCTGTTGGTTCTTGGACTTTGGCGATGATGCCACTAGTGGTCATGCGGTCCAGTTCGTCTTTCAGAGGCTCGCGGAGAGCATGCGGCACTCGACGTGCTGGCTGAACCACAGGACGGCAATCATCCTTGAGAACCATGTGATACTCGTTCTTGGTGCGTCCGATGCCCTGGAACACGTCTGGAAACTCAGAGATCACTTGGTGTCGCAGGCAATTTGTTTCCTTGAGGCTGTCTATGCGGTGAACCAATCCAAAGGCCTCACAGCTCTGAAGCCCCAGCAGCGCTTGCTTGCCCTTCTTCACGATGAAGAAGTCCACGTTTTCAATCTTGGATTTGAGCTCTACAGAGAGGCAGACTTTGCCCACATGCTGTAGTTTTCCTCCTCCATAGCTTCGCAGTGTTGTGGAGCTTGGTACTGGTTGCGTCGAAACTTGAAGTTTCTTAAAAACGCTGAGAGGTAGAAGATTTGTTTGCGCTCCGGTGTCCACCTTTAGGTGAACGTCGCGGCCTCCTATCTTCGCCATCACAGTCCAGTCACGCTCATGCTTTACTTTGCGACTATCAACTGATAGAATCTCAAAGGTATCGGCTTCTTCATCTTGGCTAAGCTCTCGTTCGTGAACGTTGTCGACGCTCATCTTCTTGCCTTTGCAGGCTACCGCAAAGTGGTTTTTTTTCCCACACTTGTTGCATGATTTTCCAAATGCTGGACATTTTCTCGGCTCATGCATAGAGCTGCAGTATTGACACTTGCGTCTTCCGGGAGAATTTCTGTCCCTTCGAGTCACTGGCTCCACAAGCGTATCTGGAGTTTCCCAGGTCTTGTTTTGGCGCTCTGAAATTTCCGCAGATTTGCAGAAGTCGACGGCTTTCTCAAGTGTTAATTCTTTTTCCCTCAGCAGCTTCTCTCTGAGTTTTTTGTTCTGTATGCCGTACACAATCTGATCTCGAAGCATCGACTCAACTAACACTCCGAAGTTGCAGGACTTCGACTTTAGTTGCAAGTCTCGAAAAAACAGTTCGAAACTCTCACCTTCCGTCTGCTGTCGTGTTCGAAAGACATAGCGCTCGAAGGTTTCGTTGCTTTTTGGAAGGCAGTAGTCCTCGAATCTATTCACGATCAGTTCATAGTCATCTTTCTCAGATTCTGCCAAATTGAACGTGTTATAGACGTCAATGGCCTCCTGGCCAGCCACATGGAGAAATATAGCTGCCTTCTGCTGCTTCGATCTCGCCTCCTTCGTCTCTGTTGCTCGGAAGTAGAGTTCGATGCGCTGTTTGAAGCGCTTCCAATTCTCCGCTGTGTCCTCCGATTCGCGTCTCCAGCTCGACGCTCGCCCTCCCGCGGCGGGAACGGGAAGCGCTCTAGTGAGGGTCCCCCGATTCTCCTGCTCAGCGGGCATGGCGGAACTGCTCGCGATCATGGCTCGCGAAATGTCGTTTCCGAACGCAAACAACACTCTTCACTGTCCCAACGTAGTGCTGCAGCCGGTATGGGATTGAACCTTACTGGGGAGTTTTAGTATAGCGCATAGAAGCAAACGCAAGCGGTGTGCGTTTGCGTTAAAGTTGCGTGCCCCACGTTGTGCGTGCGCCTCATCGCCATGCGCCATCCAAGACCGCGATTTCGGGCTCCGCGCACGCGCAGTGTGGAACGCGCAAAGCTAACGCAAACACACAGTATAAGCAATATTAAAACTCACTACTGTTTCACCGGCTTCCAACGCCAACGAAACGTGCTGCAGTGAGCAGACGTGCAAGCAGGTAGGCGTTCCTTCGAACTGGAAAGGCTGAGATGGGCAAAACGACGGCGAGCAAATACAAAAGTAAATAAATGATATGAAAAAACTAGGAATTAAAAAAAAAACTTTTTTTTTTACTTTTGGGCATTTGGTGTGGAAGTATATTGGCGGCGACTTTGGACGTTTCGCCGATTGTCAAATGCCGCGACTTTTATAGCACAATATACTTTACCCGCAATTAATGTAATTTTACATGGATTTCTCACATTAGCTAGAACGTTTTCATTGATTTTAGACTATTTTTATTTTATTTGTAATTAAAATGCAGCAATTGGAACCAGTGATGATAATTAGCAGTTTTCATTGTCATATTTCTTCGCGTGTTTAAAATTAGATAATAAACAACAAATTATATTAGCGCTTGAAGAATTACTTATTCAAATATGTGAATTTTAATATTATTATTATTAATACAAATCGCGGCAATTTATGCCTCTAATTAACGCCAAGATCACGAGAATACTCTTTTTAACCATAGTAGTCTTTCCAGAAAGGTATAATTTTGTCTTTTTTTTAGCATATGAAAAACTCTGACATAGTTATTAAGATACACAAACAGTTAAACGCTGGATGTAATATGAAGTCCTACGCGTCACGCGGTGCTATAAAAACATACACACAAACACTTCAGCTGTCTGACTCGGATTCCGTCTTGGGTTGTTGCAGTGAGAGTAGCGTTTATTAGTTTATGCGTTTCGTGGACATATTGTAAAAGTTGGAATTATTCACTTATTTTTCTGCTGGGATAATTCTCATTATTTCCCATGACACTAATGTGAGCGACAAAAAGGCAGCGAGAACGCACAGATATCAGCACTGATTTTTTCAACAACTACGAATAGCAGCCTGGATCGAACAATATGTCACAAAATGAAGTTTCCGCGAACAACTTTTCTAAGTAAAGAATTACAATATGAGACACATCTTGAGTCATGAAAGAATCCGAAATTAAGACCTCTGTCGAGAAATTTAATCCAAAATAGAGGTAAGTTTCGGTTTCGCTCCAGAATTAAAACGCGTATCCTTCCGTAATTAATACGCTAAACACCGTTCTTGTTTTCAGGTTAAAGAGGTGACCTGCGCTCATAAAACATTAGCTTCCTCGTATTCCCAGAAATAATTTATGTCGCTCAGTGAAGCCAGCACACTAGACAGGCTCAACAGCGGCACGCATCTCTGACCCTTACTAAACCCGCCATCTTGGAAAATCAGTGGCGCCACCTATAGTTAGTTGGAGTCGCGAATAGCCTTAATCCTGCCGGCGGCGGTAGTTCGACCATGGCTGCGGTTCGTTTCACTGAAGAGGAACTACTCAACCACTTCTGACACCATGTATCGTGGTTAATAGGCACAAATCAAGAGGACACTTTGCTTTAGAACGCTTACGTGCCGGCGGCTGTTTTTCCGTCACCTTTATTTCGTCGTCTTCTCCTAGCTCGCCCACGCTCAGCTAGCTTTATAACCGATACACGTACCTTCCCCTCCTCCTCCTCAGGAGCTGCGCTCTAATTCGGTGCTACAGGGGGGTGTAAACGTCTTTCACTTTTTTATGAGAGCCTCATCAAAAAGAAAGACGTACTTAAGGTTGAATTAAAGGCGATGGATGCGTTCCGTACTGTGCGCAATCGTTGGTGCTTTGAGAGAGACCTTAAGGTTTTACCCGAATAGCACTCAAAGCACTCCGGACCGGTATCAGACCACGTGACAGCTTGATCAGTCATATCATTTCGTGTAACATTGGCCTTGAAGCGTATCTAACTGAAAATAGTGCTTGCTAGATGTAGCTAGAGAGCACTTAAAATGTCTTTGGGAATGACAAAGTTACCATTGGGAAAATATTACGTATATCACAACACCTTTATCTGCGAGCCCTGTCAGTTCAGCTTAGTATTTTACCTTGAGTTGCGAGACCATTCAGCTATTCCGGATACTTAACGTCACGCTCAGGTCGGAACCTCTACGAAAGACAATTAATCACTGAATGAGCGCTCTTTCTATCGTAAAGCTACTGGTCATATAATAATCCGTTAACATTAGTACCCTCATGACATGGAAAAGCTGACGGAGTCCGTCCGTGGACACTACAGCGGCAAAGAAAGCGCGCCGAGTAGAGAGGAGAAGAGTAGTGAAGGATGAAGGCGAGAGGAAGGCGACGTCACGGGGGGGAAACCAATGCGCGCGCGGATGCTGGTGCGGGTCTGAACTTGCAGGTGTGTGGAGCGCGGATGCCTCGCTTTGTGCTACAAAACGGAGTGTGAACCAAGTACTAGCGCTGGTCGAAGTAGCCTGCAAACAGAAGGCGGATTGTGAACGAAGAGACGGGCTGCCGAAACCGGAGAACGGCGAAGGCAGCGTTAGGCAGCGGATTCCGCTGGCGTTTCCCAAGGGTCATGCTAACGCATTCCCTAAGGATCTGTGGTATAAGCCCCTTGGTCTTAGGGGGAGAAGAAGAAAAGGAGTTACTCAGCTAACATGACGGCTCTGCTTTCCTTCCTCGCCGGCTACGCATACTACATGGTGGCAGCGGACTTAACATCATTCATTCATGAACTTATCCTCCAAGGATATCAAGAGGGCATAGGCACCAACCGAAGTCCACCGCCGAAGTTTAAGCAGATTAGTCAAGCAAGCGCAAACATACAGGAAACCATCGGCAACCGCTTCACCATAGATGGCTACCCCTGTGTTCGCTTGTCAATCGCCGGAACCTTTCGGCTTCACAAAAACCGAAGACTGGCCTGAATGGATATACGGCGCTTCGAGCGATTCCGAGTCTTAAGCGGACTTAACAACAAACCCGCAACGGAATAAGTAAACACCTTGATATATTTCAAGGGCTAAGAGGCAGAAGACATTCTGCTCTCACTTAAGATCCCTGACGAGCAGTCACTACAATACGACGCCGTTAAGGAAGCCTTCGTAGACCATTTTATTGCGCGGCGCAATATCATCTACGATCGAAGCGAATTTCATCAAAGAAAACAAGAAGAACACGAGACCGCCGTAAAGTTCACCACCGATCTGCATGCTCTCGCCAAATACTGCAACTTCGGAGCACTCCACGACGATATGATACGTGACCGCATCGTAGTGGGAGTCCAGATAACAATCCGAGAAAATGCAACTTGATGCAAAACTAACCTTAAAGTCAGCAGCCACTATGGCGCACCTGTGGGAAACAGTCAAAGGCCAACAAGACGCTTTACATGGAACCGACGTCAACGTCAACATAGTTCAATCTTTCAATACAGCAGTCCCTTCTAAAGAGGCTCCCAAAAAGGGAAACACACAACAGTTATGCTACTGGTGTGGCAGGGGGAAGCACCCCAAAAATAAC